AAAGGGAGAAATGTTATGTGAGGTTTTTTTCCACTTTCCGAAAATGTCAAGATTCTAGAGGTTAGCACAAAATTGCTTGTAAATAAACTCAGAAAGTTTTAAATTGTGCAGTGCTTTAGAAGACAAGCTGAGGTAAATGAGGTTAATGCCAAAAAGAAATGTGTCCTCTGAATGAGCTCTTAAACCAGTTGAATCAGCGTATGTGATAGTTTGTTCCTTTACAAAAAATATCGCTTCTGTTTCTTGACAGAAATCTTCCCAGAATTTCAGGATTATGTGCAACTAATGCCAGATCTTTCTTTGAATGTGCTCAGACCCCAAATCAAAACCAGAAACACCGGCTCATTTTGAATACTGTCGTGACGATAAACAGCATTGGTGCTTGCACCCAAACAATATACAAAGAGGAGGTACTTCCTTCCACAGGGAGGATGCCTGTCTGGCGCTGAGCATTTCCAAACCTGGGAACAGCCTGAACCGCAGGGACAAGGAATCAGCATCTCCATGACAACCACCGTGCTCAGCCCTCAGCTCCTGGTCCAGTCACACTGGCTAAACAGGGGCCAGCAAAAACGATTATCCACCGAGGCATCTCGAAGCCGAAATGAAAATATCGATGCCAGAATCTAGTCTCAAGGGCCGGTCGGTTGGCCTGAAGGAAATCGAGTGGAGCAGATGAGAGAAATTAGCAGTACGAAACAGAGAGAGCCCACAGAAAAGGAAATCGCTGTCTTAGAAAGGCCCTTGCACCCCCATCCTCACTGCAGCTTCAATGACTCTTCCCAAGAGGGGGCCACAGCCCACATGTCCCCAGGGATGGACATGGGTACATTTCCAAGGACCACCCTGGAGCGACAAAGGGGAAGGGAACTGAGCCTGCTGTGACGAGCTGGAAGGCAATAAATCAGAGACAAGGCGTAACCGGTGTGATCTTGCGTATGTGGAGTTTAGAACCCCGGGTCAAGTGAAGATCTGGAGGTGATTACACTAAGTGAAATAAATCAGAAGGTGAAGCCTGCGTAGTTTGACTCTTTTGAGGAATATAAATAACCAGAGAAAACAAGCTGGCGGAGCAAGGAGGATCCTTACACTCTGAATTATCGGCGGGTTTCCAGTGCACAGGGGTGGGAGGAAAGGAGGGCGGGCAGGAGAGAGGCTGGAGCTCTGGGGGCGGGCGGGTGGAGCCTGTGCCATAGGGCAGTGAAGCTGTACTCCCCAGATCAAATACTTCATAAATGAGTGGCAAATCAATCAAGTTTGAGAGCAAAAAAGCCAGAGTCACAGACGGAACAGAATGCCACGTGCAGAAGTGAGAGCGGGAGGGTGATTCAGTGGATTTCGGGATCGAAAGTAAAAGCCTCCAGCAGTAAGAACGTCCCGGGGACGGCAGGCACGCTGGCCATCGGCGGGCACCGCCACGCTGAATGTGCGCCAGCTGCCAGCACGTGACGTTCCACCACACCCGGAGCCGTGCAGCGGTGTGCTCTGGACGCTGGCCAGACCGAGACGGTCTGACAGGCTGCACGTCGGTTCCACCTCGGGAAGTGAGAAACCGCAGGCTGACCGCAGAGGAGGAAGAACGGAGGGGCAAAGGCCCCAGTCGCAGCTCCAGGGGCGGGCGCAGTGTGGGGGCGCAGCGAGGCCGGGGTGGGGGAGCAGGGGCGCCTGACACTGAGTCCCTGTGGCTCATGGCAACCTGAATTCACTGCGCGCCAGCTTGTCGAGGCACCCCAGCCGCGGACAGAGGCCGCAGGAAGGCCGCCCTCATGCTGGGCTAAGTACAGGAGGGCGAAGGGCCTGCTCTGACCAGCCTGGAGGCTGCCTTAGAGCAGGCCAGAACTGAGACGCGCATGACAGGCACGGAGGGGGGCTGGCGGCTGCCGCTGGGGAATTCGGCTGTCGGTGAGAACCTTGCTTCTCTGAGAGGATCTCGAAGCCACCAGGTAGGAAAGCGAACACACAGCCCAAACAGCTGTGTGTCACCTACCCACAAAGAACTAGGCTCTGCTCCAGCACGCTGAAAGGGGAGCGCGGAAATCTGAAACTAAAGTTGCTGCAACAGCACCTGTGTCAACAGAGACGCGGGGAGACTCTACGGGACTCATTACGCAGGTGAGTGCTGGGGGGGCAGAGACCCGGGGGGTGGGGGGCCTGCTGCTGGCTCGCAGGTCCCTGCCGGGCAGGGCCAGAGCGTGGACATATGCCTGCAGCATGGTGGGGCTCTCCTCCCAGGAAGGCTGGTGACAGTGGGTGAAGAATGCGGGTTGCTCTGGGCGGGTTCCATGCCCCTACTGCCGTCTGTGACGTGGACGAAGGGGAGCTGGAGAGCGCAGCGGACAGCACCCTCAAGCACCCGCTGTGAGTCCCAGGAAAAGACCAGTATAATTTCACCTCAAAGTCTGCCTGGGCGGCGGAGGCAGACAGAGGACAGAGAGGACCCAGCCCACGGTCAGGGGCAAGGCGGAAGTCCAGAGGCTCCCACAGCTTTCTACTTTCCAAAGACCGAATGCGGCCCCAGTGGCTGCGAAGGGCCAGACCACCCCGGAAAGGGCCCGTGGGTGCTGTGCTAAGCCAGACTTCCCTTTTCCTAAAGAGTCAAGAGAACAGGGAGGCAGGGAGGTCCCAGCAGAGGGGTCAAAGGAAAGATTTCTTCAAAGGTTTCCCGAGCCATCCATTTATCTTCTAACTGCACCAAGGGACTGAAACCCAACGAAAACCCTCTCGTCCTTGAAAGGACTTCCAAAAACTCGTATCTACAGCTGCCATCGGCATGCAAACATGAGGTGCTCGCAGGTTAGCTTTCTTGAAAGTTTTTATAGCCTCAACATGAGAGGCCCAACAGTCTCCTTCCAATTTTAAAGCTTACATATAAACTCTAAATGTTAAAAGAACGCTACCAGCCCCAAAAGAGAGGCCATATGGCTATTTACAGTTAAGACAGTTGTCCACCCTGAAGCCCACTTCACCAGCTCTCATGAATCAACATGCAATCGAGGCCTCCCTGGTGGCGCAGGGGGTCAACGCGCAGCACTATGCAGCTGTCTGCAGCCACTGCAGCAGAGTTCGATGCCCAGCCAGGGGGTGACCACAGGGCGCAGCAGGCCCCTCCTGTCTCCCGGGGTGACCCCAGAGCACAGCAGACCCCTACTGTCTCCCACTGCTCCCCTCAGTGGATCTGCCTGTTCTGCTCCTCCTCTCACCCTCACACTTCTGGCTTCACCTGAGTCAGAGCGGGGGAGTCTACTGGCCCTTTTCAATGGCCACTGATGAGCTGCGTCTGTGGCCCCACAGCACAGGGAAGCAGGGGGGCACGGAGCGGCTGCCGTGGCCCCAAGTCGGTGAGCCAGGGGTAACCCCGCATCTGCCATCAACAGCCGTGTGACCTGGGGGGAGCCACTTAGGTGGAGCAGTGATTCCGCCTACCTCCAAGGTGCTGCATAATTACATGAGGTAACACACAGGCACTTCGGAGTGCAAGCCGCCTCTCTGGTAACTTCCTGCTGGACGTCCCTACTCAGTGTTGCAAAAGGAGGTCTCTTCGGACCCTGTCAGCTGGTGAAGGCCCCCCAGGGTTGGCAAACTTGGCAAAGGACCTGGCAGGAAGTATTTGGCTTGGCAGGAAGTGGCCATTCTTAAAACGAATGACCGGCCACGGGAAGTCAGAAGCAGCCCTGGAGGTGAAGGGAAGGAGTGGGCGCACCTGTTTCCAGGTGCACAGGCCCCTGAGTCGGAGCCTCGGTTTCCCCGCCAGCCGTGAATGATGCACAGCATCATTTTTGTGGGCCACATGAAGAGGCGGGGGCGGGATCTCCCTGCCAGCCCACCCGTCCCCCCACACCAGCCCCATCACACCCCCGGTCCTGAATGAGCGTCGGCCCTGCGCTGCTGGAAAACACTACTTGCGAGGTCGAGGTAGAACCACCAGCCTGGGAACAGCTAGGAAGCCCCTAGCACCAGGACTGTGCTTAAGCTCTGAGTACGATTCTGGGGAAAGGGGTGGGAGGCGAGGACGCCTGTCTCTGCGGGAACCCCCCGTGCTGCAGTGCTGCTGGGACTGCCTAAGGGGGCTCACCTGCCCCCCGGCCCCCCAGAACTGACTGTGACCTACAAAGGACAGCGCTGTAGTCTGCACTGCATTTACACAGGAAGCCCGAGTGTAACACTTGCGGGGCTACCATGCACCCACATTCTACTATCAGCCCCTTGGAGGTTAAGCTTTGACTCAGTCGGCGACAAGCAGAATCTATACCTAAGCAGAATCACAGGGATTCCACCGTGTCCCCGGAGATGCAGTAAAGGCGCAGCTGCCCAGAACCAGGCAGCCCCCCCCCCCAACTTCAGTTCCAGCAGTGACTTGTAAGAGGCCTCAGCAGCGCACGATGAAAACTCCAGCCCCCGAACAGCAGGTGCGGCCACAGTTACCTTTCCCAGGTTTCCCTCTTTCGTATTTCTTTTCCAAGACACTTAAATAAAAGAGAACCAAGGCCCTCCCTGGTGGCACAGCGGGTTAAAGCACAGCACTGAGAATCTAAAGCCGCTTCCGCATGAGTTCGATTCCCGTCTGCCCCGGAGGTGACCACGTGGCGCGGCAGACCTCTCCTGGCCCGCCCGCTGCTCCCCTCAGCAGTGTACTTTGTCAGTCGGCCTGTTCTGCTCCCCGCTCTGTCCTGGTGAAGCCTCTCGCCACCCCTGAGCCTCTGGCCTGTACCCCAGTTCTGTATGCACAAATAAATAAATCTTAAAAAAAAAAAAGAGAAAACCAAAAGCCTCCCCCTGGTAGGATTGATTCAATCCTGACAGCTGCAGGAGCAGCGCCGGCCCCCACCCACACGCCCCTGTGATCAGAGCAGCAGCCCAGGGAATGGACCCTGCACCCAACCAGCCCCTCAGGCCAGAGCTAAAGCAGTGGCGAGGGAAAGCGCATGCGCACTTCCCTTCCCGGAAAGCAGAGGCGCATGCGCACTTCCCTTCCCGGAAAGCAGAGGCGCATGCGCACTTACCTTCCCGGAAAGCGGCGCAGTAACTCCGGAAGGACAGGAGGAAGAACAGGGCGCCCAGCAGATCTGCGCGGCCCACGACACCGGCCACCTTCCAGGAGGGACGAGAAAACACGGTGTAGAGACACATGCAAGCACAGTCAAGCCTCTGTGACCCAAAAAAATCCTCCACAGAGGGATGGTAAAAGCCAGACGGGGCCCTCCCTGGTGGTGCGGCGGGTGAAACGTAGCATTAAGAAGCTAAAGCTGCTTCAGCTTGAGTTCGTGTTCGATCCCCGCCCCGGGGGTGACCCACATGGCGCGGCAGACCTCTCCTGACCCGCCCGCTGCTCCCTCAGCAGTGTGTTTTGTCCATCTACCTGTTCTGCTCCCCGATGTGTCTCTGGGGAAGCTTTCACCCCCCACATCTCTGACCTGTACCCCAGTTCTGTGTGCTTAAATAAACAAATCTTTAAAAAAAAAAAAAGGCAAATCGTCACAACAGGAGGTGCAGCACAGAGCACCCCAAGGTGGAAAGAACAAACAAGAGCCAGCAGCAGGATGGTGACCTGTTCCCAGATAGTGCTGGGAGCTCTGGCAGAGCACCTTCACAGGCTGTTCTCCGGCCTGGCGGGATGAAGTGCTGAGGACAGCTGTGCGTGCTACGGGGACTCCTAAGGGGCGGTGCGGGTCACGTGACACCCAGCAGCTGGCTCAGCTGATGACCTGTCATGGGGCCAAGGTCAAGGTCCACAGCCTGGCCTGAGAGCTGGCAGCAGCAGTGTCTTCAGGAGTGAAGCTGGTTGCTCACTGTGCCACCTGCACAGGCTGAGACCCAGAGAAAGCCTGGCCCCGGGATTTCCCCTCACCCAATGTGCTTCTGGAAACCCCAAAATGAGAAACGAGGAGCAGCTGGAGCAGCCTGGTCCCCTGGCGCCCTGCCAGAGCCAGGAAAGACACAGGGGACATTGCCAGCTGGCAATGGCCCACGAGAGGGAATCCCGGACCTCACAGAGGTGCAGGCACCAAACCGGGAGTTTCTCCAAAGGAGGGTGGGGCAGCCGTGGAGGGGAGAGGAGGGGTGAAGATGAACGAGGTTTCTCAAAATGAGCAGAAGGGAGGAGTGGTCTGCACAGGGGCAGGACCGCCAGCCGGACGGCTTGCAGTCTGGGGAGCTGGGGTACATTTAAAGTCGCCCTGAAATGAATGTTAAAATTTTAAAATCCAACCTCTCCCCTTGGCTAAGTGATGAAGCTTCTCCCACGTCTTAAACAATGTGTGCTGTCTTGTCTGACAGAAGCAAGACATGTTTTTAGAAACAGGACAGGTGATTTACAGCAATCAGCACAGTGTAAGAGAGAGGTTTCACAGGAACACACTTGGCGGGCTGTGTGCGGGACACGGTGCAGTGCTGGGGGCGGGCTGGACACGAGTTGTCTTTCCTTGTCCTATCTGTGTACTATGTACTTTCAGGCTTTTTTTTTTTTTTTTTGCTTACAAAACTAAAACCACTTACCACTTCTATCTGGGTTTTCTGAAATCATGGCAATCCCCCAAATACACAAAGCAGGACCCCTACAGGGCACCATTTGCACAGGGGCCATAAAAAGGAGTTAGAGGAAGGGGAGGTGGGGAGGTTTCTCCACTTATTTCTTCTGTATCCAATTCCCAACTTATTAGACCAGCTGAATTCTTAAGGAACTTACCTCTCTGGCACTCAAATTTTTGGCAACTTCAAGTCTTTAACAATGTTTTGAGGGACAGGAAAGCCGGCATTGGCTCGGGAGTCCTTGGAAACCCGGGGCCTCCTCCCGACAGCCATGGCCCAGCCCGGCTTCTAGTCTTCCTCTTCCACCTGTAGGGTCCTGCTTTGTGTATTTGGGGGATTGCCATGCTTTCACCAGAAAACCCTGATAGAAGTGGTTTTAGTTTTTTAAGCAAAAAAAAAAAAAAGATAGCCTCTTTAAAGAAGACTGGTCTGTCCCAGGCCTGATGGGCCTATGGTCACCCCAGGAGACCTGGGGCATGCAGGCGAAAGACAGACCTGCGATGGTGTTTCCCAGTACCCGTGTGGAGCTGAGGACAGTGGATGTTTCCCGAGACTCTGTTCCCATGTCCCTAGAGAATGAAAATGGCCTTGACGGAGGGCCACCTCCAGAAATGCCCTGTTCTATCAGAGAAACCTCTCTACCGGCAGGGCCAGGCAACATTCAACATCCAGACAATGTCTGCACCACCATGTCAGCGAGACAGAAAGAAGCGCTGGAGTGCACAGCCTGGTGTTGTCATCAAGTCTTCCCTGCAAAGCCGAGTCCGCCAGGAGGAGATACACAGTGGATGGTTTTGGATATAGGTATAAAAGAAGGAGCCAGAGAGTAATTATCAACCAGGGGACAATGCCTGCTAACCTGAGGGCTTGGGGGCTCGCAGGGGTGGGGAGAAGGGTCCGAGAGGGCAAAGGGACGACTGGTGGGAAACAGACAGCCAGGAAAGCGCTGGTGCCTGAGGGGTCCCAGCGCAGCAGCGTGCAGCCACTGCCAGTCACGGGCGCGGACCCTGCCAGGGAGTGACCCACACGGCGCGCAGACCTCTCCTGTCTCCCTGCTGCTCCCCTCAGCAGTGCGTTTCAGTGGAGCCACCTGTTCTGCTCCCCCCTCTTCTCACACCCCTCACCTCTGGCCTACACCCTAGCTCTTGTTTGCATATATAATAAATCTTTGGGGAAAAATGCTACAAAGTCACCCCACAGCAGCAGGCAGAAGGAGACAGAAGGTCACAGAGTTCATGTCTCAGTGATCTTCATTTGCAGAGTGAGAGGAGAATCAATCTGCAGTAACATTCGTGATTTCAAGAGTACGCAGCTCCTGCACTAACCCCTAAAACAGCACTGAGAAACAAGTGGGGGGGGCAAACTGACAGGAGAGAGGCATGCATTAAAAAAAAACAACTCACCTACAGAAGGCATTAAAAGATGGGGAGCGGAACAGAGACGGGGCAGGACCAGAAAGCAAGCAGAACAGTGGCAAAGGTACCCCAAATCCACGCGCTCACAAAGCAAAGGCCCCCAGCGGCCGGGGCTCTGTCTTTTCATGGGGGGGGGGAGGGGCGCCGACTGTCCGGTGCTGGGGGCTCGCGGCTATCCGGCTCCTGCGGGCTTGCGGGAGGTTTCAGCCACAAGCAGCCCCCCAGGGCGGACCACACTTACACACTCGGTGTGCACCGGGTGGGCGGCGAACAGCAGCGTGGCCAGCAGGGAGGCGCGGGGGGCCAGGTCCGCCCTCCGGCCGCGGCCGGTGTACTGCAGACCCCCGAACAGCACGGAGAAGACGTCCAGCAGGAGGACCGAGACCCCGCCGTGCAGGAGGATGTTGACCACGTGGAAGCTGACGGGGTGGAAGCCCCCCGCCAGGTAGTAGTTGATCCTGCAGGAGAGGAAGGGGGGTCACGCTGGTTGTTGGGGGCCAAACGCAAAGCGTCTGCGCGAACGGGCTGAGAGGAGGTATGGGAGGGAGAAAGAAGGGGTGCGGGGTGGTGGAAACAGCGTCAGGATAAATAGAGCCTGTCAAGCCGAGAGGGCTGGCGAAGAAGTAAGACCAAAGGGACTGCGGAGGGGAAGTGGAAGACGGGCGGGGCGGGGCGGTGCGGGCCAGGGGCGCGGGAGGGAGGACACGCAGAGCCAGGGCTCTCTCTGGGGGTGGGGGGGATGTGGGGGTTGGGGGGTGAGGGGGGGCAAAGGCCGACAGCACCTTCCCCTCGCGCCTCCCTCGGGGCCAGGCCCTCACGGTCACGAGCGCCTTTTCCAAAATAACAATGAGAAGGGCACCGTCGCGGTTTTCCGCGTGCCCGCCAGCTGCTGTCAGTCACTGTGCTCGGGGCCTCTCTGCAGGTCAGTGACCAGCGGGACCAGCTCCCCTCTCCCCTTTCAGGCGTCAGAGACAGCGCTGCGCAGTATTTAACCAGGCGGCACAGCCATGCGTGGCAGCTTCTGGGAGTGAGGCTGGTTTTAGCTTCACCCCTTGACTTGGGGACAGTAGGAAGATTTCGATCTTGGATGTTTTTGGGAACCAAAACCCCCAACGACATTAGATGCCATCATCGCCAGCGCTCTGATGGCGTCACGTTCAGGGTGTCACGCAGTCAGGGCCCCGCCTGCAGGGAGTGTGCAGGCGCTGGTGTGGCCGCCAGTCTGCATGTCAGCCCGTGCAGGACGCCCGTCTCATCACTCTGCTGTGAGCTGTGGAGTGCCCAAAGGGGCCATGAAGTCTCTGAGCGCACCACCCTGTCCTGTGAGTGAATTCCCAGGCACGCGAGCAGCTGTCCTACAGCAGGACCCGCGACCTGCCACTCTAGACGCTGGCAGCCACGCCACACACCAGCTCGCACGCCGGCCCGCGAGCCCTGGGCCACCCTCTGGCCCGCGAGCCCTGGGCCACCCTCCGGCAGCTCATGCTGCGTGTCTCACCTGAAGGTCAGGACGGTGAGAGGTCGGTAGGATTTGTGGCTGGTGTTGCTGCTCAGCCTGCTGCCCCAGAAGTCATGGTGCCACAGGTCCCCAAGGGGCGTTTCTGCTCGGAGGTCCTGCGGGGACACAGAGGAGATGCTGTGACAGGAAGCCCCGCGTCAGGCGCTTTGACAGTCCCCGGCCTCCAGCTCCGGCTCCCGAGCCCCGGGCAGGCCCGCCGTGGGTCTGTTCAGCCTCCTCGCGGGTCCGCTGTACCCTCTGACATGGACTCCACAACGACCTTTTCCAAATGCAAATCATGACCCTAGCCCGCTCCGTTTCAGACACCGCAGGAGCTCACCACCCCCAGGACAATGTCAATGTCCTGGCATGAATGGCACGGCTAGGGGCTGGGGGGCCTCTGGCCTGCCAAGCTCTGGCACCCGATCGAGTGGGGGCTGTGTCGCTGGCACTGGCTATGCCCTGCCCCCACCCAGCTGCAGTGCTCACGCCAAAGTCTTCACACCAGCAGGCCTTCGCCCTGAGGGCCTGGCACACTGGCGATTTGTTCCACACGCGTTCTGCCTGCCCAATGGACAGTGGCTATATCTGTACTGGCCGGCAGTACTCAGAAGGTGCCCAGTCTGTGCGCAATGGACCACACAGAGATGTCCATTATCCTCTCTCATCTCCATTACCTGGGACCTAACGTCCCAGGGAAAACATAGTAGAAAAACACTTTCAAAAAACTTCCCATTTTTTGGTCACAAGTAGATTGTAAAATTAAAAACAAGGGCCCTGCCTGGTGGTGCAACAGGTTAAAGCATAGCACAGCACTGCCAAGAAGCTATAGGCAGCCGCTTCCCCATGAGTTTGATCCCCACCCCAGGGGTGACCCCCCACAGCGCAGCAGACCTCTCCTGACCCGCCCACCCGCTGCTCCCCTCAGCAGTGCACTTCGTCGATCTGCCTGTTCTGCTCCCCGCTCTGTCTCTGGTGAATCGTCTCACCACCCCCGCACCGCTGGCCTGTATCCCAGTCTTGTATGCATAAATAAATCAATCTTTATAAAAAATAAAAACAACACTTTCACCTTACCTCGGAAGATAAAAATCACGGAGTAATAAAAAAACAACACAAAACTACAGCTTTCTTACTGTTGAGGTCACTTAATTTGTTGCTGTCCTACAGCTTAAAAATGTGTGTTTTCACATTTAAGCAGGAATGTACACTGATTAAACCATGTCTACAAGAAAAAGGCAGCGAAGCGCTGTGGAGGGAGTAACAAGCAGCACTAGTTTTTCTTTAAGGCCCAATTAAAGGTGTTCGGGACAGGGCGTGACGAGCGCCATCCCAGCAAGGCGGGGCGGTCAAGGCTGTTGCTGGAACCCAGGTCACTGGGATTAGCACGGCTCTCCGGGAGGGGTGTCACTGTCTCCGGTGCGTGGGGAGGCTGAAAACTGGCTGCGGGGACGCACACAGCCAAAGTGCAGCCACGAGCCACGCTGGTGCCTGAACCCCTGCAGCCGGCCCTGCCTCCGAGAGGAGAGGTGATGTTCTGTGCAGCTTGGAACTATCAGGTGAGGAGACTGCAAACCCAGAGGTGTGCCGAGCAGTGGCTGGGCACCCCGGAAGAGCAGCCAGCACCTGAGCTACAGCACCTGAGCTCTGCAAGTGTGCATGATACAAGGGCTCGCTGGCGTAGGGCACACAGGCAGCCAGCCCCCCGACACCTCACTGCCCCTGGGGATCCACTTGCACCGACCTCCCGCCAAGAGCTGGCTGCGCTGCTGGTCAAGGGCCCGGGGCTCACCCATCAACTTAACACAGAACTGGACATCCACTTCTTTTGCACTGTCCAGTCTCCAGGGTCTCTCGTCAAGCGCGGCGAGAGCATCTTTCCCTCCGCCGGAGCAGAAGTGAACCCGACAGAGCTCGAAGTATTTGGCCAGATGGAGCCTGGCACAGGGCTGCTGCGGGCGGGCAGCTCGGCCTTCCTCACCGTGACGTGGGGAGAGACGGGCCGCTGCGACTCCATCATACGCCCAATGAAAAAGGCAGCTCGACACTACCAGGAAGCCTCTGGAGGGCGGCCTTTGACGCCAGCAGCACCAGGGCGGCCGGCTTTGCCTCGCCTGGCCGTGGCGTGGTGCCAGGGCACGGGGAGGCTCTTCTTTCAGGGGGAGAGGAGGCCAGCAAGTCAACGGGGGGGCAGTGTGACGCGGACGGGCGCCACGGGGCATGCAGCCACCGCACACTCAGCACCCAGAGCCACAATACACACAGCTGCAGCATGCACGACTGGAGCAAACAAAGAACACGCAATGCACACAGCACAGCACAGAGCTGCAGCACACACACACACAGCACACGCACACACACCACACACGCACAGCCACAGCGGGCTCCCTCCGCCTCACCCAGCGCAGGGCCGAGAAGTCGTCGCCACTCCGGGCACCATCCTGCGCGCCCCCGAGCCTAGGTTTTCCCTACCCGGTTCTCCAGGGTCGAGTTAACGCTTCATGAAAGACTCAAGAAACCCCAACTGCAGGCAGAGGGAATGTAGAAAAATGAGGCTTCGAGGTCCTGGGAGAAAGCGGCCCTGAGCGGCCGGCACAGGTGCCCAGAGCCTCCCCGCTCTGCCCTGTAACCTGGAAAGAACGGGAGCGCCGGGTGCTGCCGGCAAGGGGGGGGGGGGGCTCCGCGAAGACGCAGGCTGAAGCAAGCACCGGAGGGCTGGGAAATGAAACGGCTGCCGGAGCCCTCCCTGCTCTGCCCCACCAGCAACAGGTTCGCAGAGAACTTCTCTCAGCATTTTCAACAGGAGGAGAATGGCTGCTTCCTTGCTGAGAAGTCACGGCCTCAAAACCGTGCACACCACCGTCCAGCGTGGCCCCGCCAGCCCTCTGCTGGGGCCCGCCCCTCCCAGTGCCCCTGGGGGTGCCCCCCGGCAGGGCTCTGCCTCAGTGCCCCCCTCTCATGCGCTTGAGCTCTGCTCTGACTTTCCCTGCAGCTCGCCTGACTTTCGTTGCCTCTAGTGAGAGCGGGAGGTGGCCTTCATTTCCCCTCACCAACAGAGCTGCCCAGGTGAGCCAGCCAGGCTGAGCTTCTGCAGATTCAGCCAATTTGAGGGCAAACATGAGAGGAGCCCAAGGGCGGCTGCCCTGCGATCTCGGCCGGCCAGCAGGCTGCCCTGAGGCTCGTGCTGAAGGACAGAGACAGGCGCACTGGCCGCTGCTGAGGTGTCTTGCCTGGTGGTCACACTTGTGCATCCGTGCAGCAAATGCTGGCTCTTTTTTGTTTTTAACAGTGCTGGTGGACAGTGCTGGAAATCCGCCATCACACCTGAGACTCAGGCTGCAGGGCGCTGCTATCCCCTAGCTGCAGTCTCAGGCCACAGTGCCTGGCACACGTGTGGACCGGCACTCCCAGGAGGGCCGACCCCGCCCCTACATCAAGGAGACCCCACCTGAGAGCCAAAGGGCGACGCAGGCACCGTGGGTGCCCAGGCCAACGCTGACCAGGAGTTTCTGAGAGGGTAACGCGACACAAACTTACAGACGCCCGTCAGCACACAGGGGCCCCGGGGCTCGCTGGGGGAGAATCCAGACACAAACCTTGTTGTTCACAATAGCTTCCGAGTCGTCGAAGACAAAGTCCCCATCGTAGCTACGCGCGAAGCACATGAGGGAAACAAGCCCCACTACAAGCCTAGCCCGGAAGGGAGGCAGAACCCAAGAGGGGATGACGTGATTCAAGTCCACGTCCGGCTCGGCCATTCTGACGGCTGCGGGCGGCGGCCTCCTTCTCCAGCATCATGCCGGCCAGCGACCTGCAAGACAGGGACAGGTTGGACAGGTGCACACACCTGCCTCCCGCAAGGGCTGCAGTCTCCTGTGTGCGACTTTCTAGGTGTCCACTAAACACCCGATGCCCAGGTCTTCAAACTCTACTGGACGGGAGTGTCACAGGGGACCCGTATCTGCCAATCAGCAACCCTGGGCTGTGGCTGAAGCTGGGTTACCCGAGATACCCAGGATTAAAACTCTTTCATGGAATCCTAAGTATCAACCCCATCTAACTGATGGTTTTTTTTTTGTTGTTTTTTTTTTAAGATTTATTTATTTGTGCATACTGAACTGGGCTACAGGCCAGAGGCTCATGGGCTGTGAGAGGCTTCACCAGAGACAGAGTGGGGAGCAGAACAGGCAGATCGACAAAGTACACTGCTGAGGAGAGCAGCGGGTGGGTCAGGTCTGCCACGCCATATGGTCACCTCCAGGGCAGGCAGGAATCGAACTCATGCAGAAGTGGCTTTAGATTCTCAGTGCTGTGCTTTAACCTGCTGCGCCACCAGGGAGGGCCTAACTGATGGGTTTTTTAGCTCCTGAACCAGGGGGTAAGGTTAAAGGAAACAGTTACCTTATGCTACATATAAGAAAGGTCAGTGCTTCAGGCTGTATCTTTGCAAGCTGGGGGAGGGTGGAGGCAGCCCAGGAGGCAGGGAAGTGCAGAAATAGGGTCCTGATTCTGAAAGAGCTTGCCGTCCATGTGGGGGCTAGGCCCCCGGGGTCTGCAGGTGGGAAGAGGGGGCTGCGGCCTCCCAGGCAAAGACAAGCCCTTCGGCACTGATGAAGGACTCCAATTAAAAATATATCGGCTACAAATAAATAAATCTAAAAAAAAAAAAAATATATCGGCTTCTCCTCCACTCGTCTTTCAAACGGGCAATGAGAGAAGGCGGCCACTTCTGTCTCTTGCCCTGCCCCACTGCCTGTCCCCAGCCCTTCCCTCTTCCCTGCCACTCGGCAAAGGCTAAGAACTCGTCAGAAGCAAGAGCTGCCAAAAGCTCCCTGCCTCGGAATTCACCCAAACCCCAAGTCACGTCTTGTCTCCCCCCCACCCTCTCCGCAGGAGCTGACTGTGATTTAACAGCCCGCGTCTGGGCTGACCTGCTTGGGTCCCAACTCTGCACTGGACGTTACTAGCCCTCTTTGGCCTCTGGCCCAGAGCACCTTGAATATGGGGACGGTAACTGTTCCCACTCTTGTCTCAGGGTTAAAGGACACCCACTCAGTGTGCTGGGCAACACCCACTGTCGTCAGTGAAGCCCAGGGGAGACTTGTGTTTCCAAGAATTTCCCTCCGGGAGGGCAAAAACAGACTCGGAAAACATCTCCCTGGAAAATGCCCCTGGGTTTGCTTGTTGGTGGCGAGTCTGGTTCCCAGAGGGGGCCCGGCCTCCCCGTCTTTTGGGCTCCGACAGTGGTTTCTGGGTCTCCAAGGAAACCCGCCAGTTATGGGATAATCAGTCAGCCAACTAGGTCACAGGCATCTTCTCTAGAGGTTTCCCTCGGGGTGAAAGTGGGGGCAGATCTAACAGTCAAGGGGACTCTGGCCACACTGTCCCTCTCCAGTGCCAGAGAGAGGCCCGATTCCTCTCCTTGCTGAAGGCTCCCCGAGGGAATGCATGTTCCCAGGCCCTGCTGGGCCGATATTCCCGCTTCTCACCTGCCCTTTTAGCTTTTCCCTTTTCCACTGAGAAGTGAAGCTTTGGTCAGACCCAAATTTCAGCTGCAAATACAATGTAGGTCACCATACAGATCCCAAAAATAGGGCCTACATTTTAGCAGAAGAAATTATTCCTGTTACTACATAATAACCTGAAAAAAAAAAAAAACAAACAACTAGAGAATTCAGAAGATACCACGATGTAACGTGGAGGGCATAGAAATGCTCCTTGACTTTGAAAATGTGGCTGAAAGCAAATATGTTATATCCCGTTAAATGCAGGTAGAGCTGGGAGCTGATGCTGTTATCGGCGTTCAGTCCAGACACTGGAATATCTTTCAGGTTGGCGGGAAGGTCTGCGTGGGCTTATGGAAGAGGAATCAATCCGGACCTGACGTCTGCTCCTTAAATGAGTTGTGGGGCCTCACTTTTCATGCAAATGACGTGTAACACTGAGGAGCCGAGCTGGGACTCTGGCCAAGTGGAGATGGGGGGAGGCAGGTGTGGCCCCAGCATGTGGGGTGCTCTGCGGGCCAGGCCTGGACTCTTGGAAAGGCAACGGAAGAGAGATGTCTTCTCTTGCAGGGACATTGGGGATGCGGCCCCCCAACCCCCCTTTCTGGCTGGCCCTCCTCTCCTTGCAGCCTTCTCCACACTCCAAGACTCCCACTTCTTTGCTGTCCCTGCCATACCTGGGAAGGCACTTTACAATGAGGGTCACCGCAGGATGGCACAGCTCAGAAAACACTGTGATCAAAGGCACAATGTAAAACGCTCAGGGCGCAGCCAGGGTCAGCACAGGCTCAGGCGGCAGACAGGTCTGCACTTGCTACCTGCATGACCCTGAGCCCCTCAGTCTTGCAAGGGTCAATTCTCGCAGGACACAGTAGGGTGTCCCTGCGTACAGGGGGGTGGGGATGGTAAAGAGTAGAAGAGACGATGTACGGAAGCACTCAGCTCCCGATATTGTTGTTATCTGGGGGATACTCGTTCCTGACCTCCTGTCTCAGGAGCCCTGATATCACCAACTGTTTATTCCTGCAGCCGGGCTTACCAATCCAGGCCGACCGTCACCTATGGGGTGACCTGATATAACTGACAAGCGGTTGCCCTTCTTGGGGGGCAGACCCAGGACCCTGCTTCCTGGCCAGGGGGTCTGCCTGGCCTGCACACGCTGCACAGCCACGCACAGTGGTCCTGTTCCTTCTCCCTCCCAGGCCTCTCCTCTGCCATCAGCCCAGCCCACTGGGCTTCCCGGCCAATGGAAGGTGCCACAAGGGAGGGGCACCACCCACATCACCCCACCCTTCTCCAAGTGACCTCTGCCCAGGAGCTGGCTCTTAGGTGTGGCTTGCTCGAAGCCCCTGGGATTGAGAGTGGGCACCATGGCAGCCTCAGGCTCAGACCAAACCAGGCTCCACCAGTTGCACCTGTGGAAGCTGACCCCTCCCTGGCCTGGGCTGACTTCCAATGTTCCACCAGCAGTAATATTTGGAACAAAGCAGAAGTCTCCTAATTTTTGATTTCTCAAGCTTCTAACCTCAAGACTTTTCAGGGGGCTGAAGCAAACCTAGCCAATAACCAATGAAAAGGTCAAAAAGATCTCCAACTGGACGCTGCCCTGCTCTCCCCAAAAAGAAACGTCACAAGCTGAGGGCCCAGGGACCTCTGAAGAGGAACCTGCAGCTGCAGTGCTGGGGATGGAGTCCAACCTGAAGGAGAGTCCACAGAGGTGGCAGCAGCCAGCCGGCTGAGGACTTGGCCACGTGTACCTGCTGGCCCGGGGGTGGGGGGTGCGGGTGGTGTCTCTGCCTGCCAGTAGCAATGCCCTCCTCAGGCTGAGATGACACAGAAAACTGGAATAAAGAACACTGCCTCCACCTGGCATCTGGAGACCTGGGCGGGCTGCACTTCTCTTGGGGCCTGAAGACACGGGAGACGGTCACCTCCACGCCTCACTGAACAAAATTACTGGACGCACCTGTCTCTAGTGGTCGAGACCCCCCCCCCCCATTTCCCCGTTCTGGGGCCCAGGAGGGCCTGTGCGTTTCAACATTCACTTTCACCGTCCCACAAAGTTTTCCGCTTGCTAGACTGTAGCCATTTTTCCTAAGTCAGCGGCGTCACGCACCCCACCTCCCTCTGGGGCGCATCGGTCCGGACTGCGAGAACAGGGGACCAGGGCGGGACCCCGCCAGTCGTACCCCTGTTTCTCAAGGAAGTCTCCCCGTGCATCTGCTCTCCCAGGCAAAGAGCGGGCGGGATGGCTCCTAGGGCTCATGCCAGGTCTCGCTAACTCCTCCCTCCTTTTGTGTGTGGTTAAAAAAAAAAGGCGCAAACAGCCCGAGCCCACAGTCACAACAGCCACGCGACCAGCGTCCCCGCGGAGCTGGCCCGAGGTGCGGCTGCGGTGGCCGCCGGCCCGGCTCCCCCAGACTCC